ACGGACGGACGGACGATCAAGCGATTCTACAAGCTGCATCTGACTATGTCAGATGAGCTAAAAATACAAAAATGTCAAATTACAATTAAAATTATTTATTATTTTAATAAATGTCCGCGCGGTGGCGCTATATACCCTCTTACTAATTCAGTGCTGATGCATCGAGTGCGCATTTTCGCGGTGTTGTTCGCATTTTTACCGGTATTTTTGTAGCTCTATTGTTGAATTACAGTGACAACTAGACAGAGGGCACTCAAAGAGAGTGCATACCTCCGCGAGCGTGTAACATGTATACATGTGTATAACAGCTGGCTCGCTGCTGGCTGCTGCTGACTGCAAGCCCTAAGGCGAGCTGGTGCTGAATCGATCGCGCCAACGCGTGTAACATGTATACATGTGTATAACAGCTGGCTCGCTGCTGGCTACACACACACACAAACACACACACGAACACACACGAGAGCGATTACATTACCTACCTGCAACTCCGTTGCACGGAGGTAATAAACGAATTATTAGCTTCGAAAGAGACACAAAAGCGTCGTAGACGACTACCATGCTAGAAAGGTATAAATGCTGAACTTGCTGCTTATTTTTCTGCATGCACTGTGTTTCGTATTCATCTCCTACATAAATCGCCGCATCTATCTGTCTGTCTGTCTTCTCGAGACCCGTAAGAGGTGACCAGTGAGGTATATTCTCAATCAGCATGACGCGACGACCATTTTAAGCCAAAAACAATTTGCACAAAATGGCCAAAATAAGGGAACAAAACACAGCAATCCTAGCGCTCGGCTATAGTCAGGCTCAAAATCAGGCAATCGCATGAAATGCCGAAATGGAAGCGATCGTCTTTCGGCAGTTCAACTGCAAGGGCAAAGAAACTGGCCCATCAAACAGTACGCTCTGCAGAGAATACCAAACAGCGCAAACTCCGCCAAACAAGTGATGCCACAACCCACCAGAGGTCACGTGCACAGGAGAGTGCAGAACGGCAAGAACTCCATCAAAGAACTGATGCCGCAACCCACCAGAGGTCACGTGCCGAGGCAAGGAGGGCCAGGCAACATACTGACGGCAACATTTCATGGCTCAACGCAGCGTTCTCCTACGACCTCAACAAAGACTACACCTCCAACCCAAAGGTCTCCATTGGCAGGATGAACAACATCTGCAGACACTGCTCTGCCAAGAAGTGGCCAGGGGAAGCTCCAGGCATGTGCTGCACAGGAGGCAAAGTAAAGCTGGAGGCCCTCCAAATGCCACCACCACAGGGTGCAGCTCAGCGGCGATGAAGAAGCTGGCCGCTTCTCTCAGCAACTGCTCGTCGCAATGGCAGACTCACCGCCACAGCCGATGGCCAAGTCAAGCTGCCATTCGGCAAAGCAGCGGCGGACATCACCCAGCTCATGACCAAAGTCTTCCCAAACCTCCACCTCCGCTACCAAGACCAAGACTGGCTGAGCAAGCGAGCCATCCTTGCTCCAAGAATTTGGCCGTGGATGACATCAACGCCAAGCTGCTGGAGCAACTGCCTGGAACGAGCTACAAGTCGATCGACACAGTTACTGATTCTGACCAGTGTAATGTCTTGGTGTAACATCCGCGTTATTTATAACCGGGAACATCCGGGGATTCACAAGGGGCGGGAATTGTCACCGGAGTGGAGCAGCTGCAATAAATGTTTAGTGTGCGACAAACATTGAGTCTTTAGATCTTTATCAGATGTAGAGATATTATAATGGCGACGAGGATGGTAGGGAAAGCGGTGCTTACCTAGTGGTACTAGCGGATTTACTTCAGAATCGCTCAAAAACCCATTCTGTCGTGTATTTAATCCAAGCATGCCTGTGCTTCCCATACCTTAACAAAGAAATGGCGTCAGCACTCCCCAACTTTCCCGCGTTCAACATCGGCGAGGATGGCTCCGTTTCAGTAAGATGGAGATGGAGGGAAAGACTTGACAATTTGCAAGTTGCACTAGAAGTGACAAGTCATAAAAGAAAGAAGGCGTTGAAGTATGCTGGTGAGGAAGTACATGATATTTTCTCAACCCTGACACTAGCCGATACAGTTGCAGTAGAAGGGGAGGAAGAAGCAAATGTGTACACGCAAGCTACGGATGCGTTAGACGTACTTCATGCCAAAACGGAACAGAGAATACGACGTCTATAGATTCCGACAGGCGAAACAGAATCAAGGTGAGAATATAATGACGTACTGTACTAGACTCAGAAAGCAGGCAGAGTACTGTGAATTTCCAAACTTGAATGGAGAAATAAAATCACAGATTATACAATCCTGTCTGTCCTCACGGCTACGAAGGAGGGCACTACGAGACAGTGATATAACACTAGATGAGCTACTGACACTGGCTCGTGGATTCGAACTGAGTGATCAGCAGGCACATGTAATAGAGCATCCCAACGGTAGGGAGGAAAGTGTACAGATGATACACAATAGGCAGCCGCCGAATAGCTTCAGAGGAAAAGCAAGGGGGCGAGGAAAACAGAGCTATAGGAAACCCTGTGCACAGCAACAAAAGGAAAAGACCCGACAGTGCTATAGATGCGGAGGAGAATTCCCACATCAAAGTAACTGCCCGGCAAAAGGCAAAATGTGTAGTTTGTGCAAGAAATCAAACCACTTTGCCAAGATGTGCAAATCTCGTCAATATAAAGACAAGGCATACAGTATAGAGGCACCTGTCAGGGAACCAAGCTCTGAGGAAGACGAATATGGTTTCCATATAAAGGGAAATAACTCGTCACCGAAAGCAGAGATCATTCTGAACAAAACCCCCATGAGTATTATCGTGGACACGGGGGCAACAGTAGATATAATCATGATATAATAGATGAGAAAACATTTGAGACCCTTAGAAATAGGCCGCAGCTGAGGGGAACGAATAAGATCTACCCATATGGCTCCACGAAACCTATCGACATTGTAGGCACGTTTACTACAGAGATCAGAAGGAGAAAACACAAAGGTAGTACAGAAACTACTATCTATGTAGTAACGGGACATTTTGGCTCGTTGCTCAGCTACACTACTGCTGTGGTCCTTGGCATCAATGCTTGGCATCATTCCCACAATCCATGTGGTGTCGCCATCTGTTGGCAAGTCCATTACAAATGAATTCCGAGACAGGTTTGAGGGAATCGGCAAAATCAAAAACGTACAAGTTACGATACACATCGATAAAGGTGTACAACCAGTTGTCCAGCAGCATAGGAGGATACCTTTCCACCTTAGGAAAAAGGTAGAGGCAGAGCTAGAACGTCTAGAGAAACTCGACATAATAGAGAAGATCGATGATCCCACACCCTGGGTATCACCCATAGTCGTAGCCCCGAAGCCCAAGAACCCTGAGGAGATTCGCATTTGTGTCGACATGCGACTAGCAAACCAGGCAGTGCAAAGGGAGACACATAACACCAACAATCGACGACATCCTCATTGATTTAAATGGTACATCAGTGTTCACGAAGTTGGATCTGAACGCAGGCTACCACCAGGTGGAGCTAGCCCCAGAGTCACGGTACAACACGACATTCACGACACACGTCGGTTTGAGAAGGTATAAAAGACTCATATTCGGAATCTCATCTGTTCCTGAGAAGTTCCAAAAGACACTTCGTAACTGTTTAGAGGGGCTAGAGGGAGCAAAGAACATCAGTGACGATATATTGGTGTTTGGTAAGGACCAAGAAAGCCATAATGAAAGGCTGCGAAAAGTCATGAAAAGACTCCGTGAGAAGAACATTACACTGAATAAGTCAAAGTGTGAGTTCAACAAGAAGCAAGTAGAATTCTTTGGGTATGTATTCTCCAAGGAGGGGTGTCTCCAGACCCCAAGAAGATCGATGCTATTATGATCGCTGAAGCTCCACGAAACCCAGCAGAGATACGTAGTCTGCTAGGCCTTGCAAACTATGTCTCGAGATTCATTTCGGGCTCAGGCCCCTCACTACGTTGCGCAAACCGGGCGCGCCTGCGACTTTGCAACGATCACTGCACCACTACGTGCATTGACACATAAAGAGGTAGAGTGGAGATGGGGTCATGCTGAGAAAATCGCATTCGAACAAGTGAAGCGGAAACTCACAGAAGAGGTCATGGCATACTTTGACACTACAAAGGATACGAAACTCCTTGTGGACGCCAGCCAGGTAGGACTGGGAGCGATTCTAACACAGGAGGGAAAGGTGATCCAATACGCTAGTAAAGCGTTGGCAGATGTCGAAAAAAGATACTCACAGACAGAGAAGGAAGCTCTTGCGATAGTATGGGGATGTGAACATTTCCATCTTTATCTCTGTGGATCTCCAACATACACCCTAGTCACTGATCACAAACCGCTAGAGGTGATTTTCAACAATCCGAAGAGCAAGCCGTGTGCTATAATAGAAAGGTGGAGATTGAGGCTACAGCCATACGACTTCACTGTAGAGTACAGACCAGGGACAGAAAACACAGCGGACTACATGTCCCGACATCCTACATCATCCGCAGGGACCTATAGGCACTCTAAGGTCGCGGAGGAATATTTGAGCTTTCTTATGTGCCATGCAGTCCCAAAGGCAATGACTGTGCAAGAGATTGCAGCAGAAACAGCAAGGGACGTAATACTACAAGAGGTAGTTCAGAAAATTACATCTGGAAAATGGAAGGAACCATTCAGAAACGCAGAAGCCAAGGCATTCATGCGAATAAAAGACGAGTTGTCAGTTATTTCGACACCAGATGGCAGTGTTCTTATGCATAACTCTAGGTTGGTGCTACCGGCATCGTTACAACAGCACGCTGTGAACTTAGCACATGAAGGACACCAAGGGATTGTCAAAACGAAACAACTGCTTCGACAGAAAGTATGGTTTCCTGAAATTAATGAGATGGTTGAGACAACATGCAAGAAGTGTGTTCCATGTTTGGTGAGCACCCCTGATTCGAGACAAGAACCATTGCATATGACAAAGTTGCCAGAGAAGCCATGGACACATGTCTCGGTTGACTTTTGTGGACCGATCCCGAGTGGCGACTACTTGGTAGTAGTTATAGACGACTACTCGCGCTTTCCAGTCGTAGAGATACTGACCAAATTGACAGCAAGATCAACGATCCCGAAGTTCGACAAAATATTCTCCGAATATGGAATACCGGTGGAAGTGAAAACAGACAACGGACCACCATTTCAAGGTGGAGAATTTAGAGAGTTTGCGAACAACCTGGGTTTCACACATCGGAAGATTACCCCGCTTTGGCCGAAAGCCAACGGTGAAGCCGAGAGATTCATGAGGACAATCGGGAAGGCAGTGAAAACAAGCAATATAGAGAACTTAAACTGGAAACAAGAACTGTATAAGTTTTTGAGAAACTACAGAGCAACTCCCCATAGCTCAACCGGAATATCACCGGCTCAGGCGTTGTTCAATAGGGAAATACGCACAAAATTGCCAGGATACGAAAAGAAGCCACAGACAGAGATTGACATACGAGAAAAGGACAAGAGATCTAAGCAAAGGATGAAGACGTATGCAGATGTCAGGGCGCATGAAACAAGAGTCAGAGTAGGCAATCGTGTACTGGTGAAGGCACGAAGAGAGAACAAACTCTCGACGCCATACATATCAGTTCCCTACGAAGTTACACAAAAGAAAGGAACATGCATCACAGCTAAGAGGGGTGACCATAAGATAACCAGGAATGCATCCTTTTTCAAACGGATAGAGGGGGAAAGAGGACCAATTGTCTGTCACGACTCCAATCCCGATTTAGAATCGGAGGACAAACCCGATGAGATAAGCGAAGACGTTCCAGAGGCGAACGAGGACGATGCTCCAGATGATACGAATCGAGGCGCAGAGGGAAATATCCCGGATCGACCGACGAAAGTCCGGAACAGACCAGCATATCTAAATGATTATGTTCTAAGATTGTAGTGCGTTATACTCGCGACAAGTAATGACAAGTAATAACCATGTAGTCACAAATTAATGTTTAATTTTCATTATTCTTTAAGTTCGGCATTGAGAATATAAACAGAATTAAAACTGAATCAGAACCGTATTGTATAATTGTTAAAATTATAGTGTGTGTTTATAGCTAGGATAAGTTTGAGTGATAGTACCACAATGTGTTCAAAAAATTTATTCAGTATTGGTAATATGTTCAGATATAAGCGAGTAGGATAACCATGTAAGACAGCAATGTACACTTTCATGGATAGACAGCATCGAGACCGTTTTCAAACCAAAGGAGAGATGTAATGTCTTGGTGTAACATCCGCGTTATTTATAACCGGGAACATCCGGGGATTTGGGGGAGCGCGGGAATTGTCACCGGAGTGGAGCAGCTGCAATAAATGTTTAGTGTCTTTAGATCTTTATCAGATGTAGAGATATTATAACCAGGTGGTGCACTATCCGACCGAGTTTCTCAACAGCCTGGCGCCCTCACTCAGGTCTGCCACCACACAAATTGGTGCTCAAGGTCGGCGCGCCCATAATGCGAATGCGCAACCTGGATGCTCCCAAGCTCTGCAACGACACAAGGCTCACAGTGAAGCAGCTCATGCCCAGAGTCATTGAAGCCAAAATCATGACAGGCAAGGGCAAGGGCGAAAATGTCTTCATCCCAAGGATCCCGCTCATCCCATCAGACCTGCCATTTGACTTCAAGAGGCTGCAGTTTCCAGTCAAGCTCAGCTTTGCCATGTCCATCAACAAGGCCCAGGGCCAGTCCCTCAAGGTCGTTGGACTCAACCTCAGTCAGCCAGTGTTCTCCCATGGCCAGCTCTATGTGGGGTGATCCAGGGTGGGTAACCCAGACAACCTCTACATCCTTTCTGAAGATGGCAACACCAAAAATGTTGTGTACCATGAAGCACTGCAGAACTGAACACAAGTGAAATTCTTGGGACAGATTTATAAAATCAGAATAAAGTCAGTACAGCCGTCATGGCAGACTAAATTCTAGCTCTTTTCTCCTTTATCCCGGGCATCGCCGGGTAGCCCAGCTAGTAACTTATAAGTACGATCACCAGATCAGGTAACACAGAACTAGATAGCTCACGTTTGCATCTAACAGTGGCCGTGATGCACAAGAATATGCTAACAAGTAGGTATATATAATAATAGCACTGTCAAAATACCTTCAAAAGTCATTATATACAATGTCAACGATAACAGACTACAACATATTATAAATATAAAATAACAATACTGATTTATTTTCACTAATCGTGATATACATTACAATCCCACGACCGATTAGACGATTACTGTTTCCACACACGAATGTATAAAACATTTAGATTGTGTAGGATATGAAGCAGCACAAATGCTAATGAACACAAACTATATAATCTAAAAGCATTACATTCATGACCATAATTATGATTATGTTTATGGCCATAAGGTCTTTATTTCCTCATTCAACTGTAAAGTGCTAAGGCTAAGTTTTGGTATATCTCAAAAGTTAGTGCTATCACAGTTGATAATCATCGAATCATCATGCCTTATCATCTCAGCAGTCATATGCATTACAATGTTCATTATTTAAATTATTAGCATTCAAGTCAAGAGTGAATAAAAAATCCTGATTCAAGTCACATGACTTTGCAAAATTAAATGTTGAATTACATATAATTATAGGAAACATGAATATGGAAATATGAACTAAACAGATTTCTTAGTAGAGGTAGCGCAATATAACCATATTGTTTATTGCTTGACAATTAAATGGTATATAGTCTGAGCCTTTATGAACATTATGAGAATATAATACACATCTGCATGAATCACAGTTGACTAATAATATGTCAGCTGGATTCACTAGTATCACTGCTAACTGTGTCAGGAGATTCCTCATTGAAATCTGAAGGCAAGAGAATAGCAGTTCCGCTGTCGTTGAGCTGCCATTCCTTAGCACCCAGTATGAAACACCTACATAAAAAGAAACACATTATTTCATACATTTGTCAATTACTATATAAGCCTGTAAATGTTTAAAGTGATTACGTCACCGTAAATGGTAAAAAATAAAAAATAAATTCCCACTTTTTCACAAAATACAAGTAATTTTGTTCACTTTTTATGGTTAAATTGCTGCATTATACTTCTTATTTTTTACTATATATTGTTCAATGTGAACATATACACTCGTGACTCATACATAGCCCATAGCATGCAATTAATGTCCGGAACACTAATATCAAATCGTCCAGGTTTTTTGGATTTTTAACTAGTTGAGAAACAATCTTACCAGGTAAGAATTTGACGATATGTTTAGTCCCGTTAGTTCTTACTTTTAATGTAAAAAAATGGCAACAAACATTTTACAAATTTTACCATAGAAAATTCGTGACGTAGTAAATTTAAGTCCATTGTTAATTATAACTGTATACTAGATGGACATGATTCAGCATAATATCACAGGCAGCAGCTGTTGTGGATGTTAAGGGCTTATGAAGCTGCCACGATCAGTCATACATGTTTCCTGTAAATATTAGGTAGACCAGTTTTATGTCAAAACAGGCTTAGAGGATGTACAAACAAAATTCACTCATTATGCTTTACAGAAGCTTGCCATTAAAAGCATAATCACATACTAATGGGCTACACAAACCTTAACTCTTCTATGCTATTGCACAGGACGTTGATCTTGGAGTAGGACAAGAGTTCTTCTAAGTGAACAACAATAGTATTGCTATCACAACTGGCCACACTGTGTGCATCACTCTCAGTGTTGCTGCCAATAGACTCGCTTTCACCATCAATGGGGTTTCGACTCAAAAAGCTGATGTAATAGCGCACTTCATTTAGTAGCTGCTCATCTCTACTTTGTTCAGGTTTCCATGGATATTTAACCTCTGCCACCTAGTGAATGAAATGACTGCGTTGGAAACTAATAATTTGTCAAAGTGGTAACACATATAAAACCAACTCGATTAAATGCATTTTGGTAAGTTTCAGGCTTTGTAACCTGCTTTTAAAAGCTCCCGTAACTATAGCCGTTTTTAACTTTCTCTCTCTCTCTCTCTCTCTCTCTCATGGAATCATAAAATAGAGTCAAACCAAATATATCCGAAGTGATAATATTATAATAGATAATATTTATAAAGGAATATTAGAAGCAATCAAATATTATGCACTTCTGGTGCATTTGGAACTTACCAACTCATATGGCATAGTAGCATTGTTATCTGTATTGGATCTGTCTAGTTGATCATTAGACGTAAACACGCCAATCTGTGAGCAAAAGCCAACCGATTCCATAGTGGGCGGGGGATCTCCTACGCCACTGAACTTTACAGAATAGTTATATTGGCTGGCTATGCGATCACACCTAAGAATAAATTACATTTAAAATTACATTGTACTTAAACATTTTTAATTATAACACCGTTTTTATTAAACAGAAACGCTGTGCAAATGGCTCTAATACATGCGCTTTAATAAAGCAATAACCTCTTTAAAACTTAAAACAAACCCTACCAATTTTCGAACTCCTCCCTAGTCCATTCGAACTTGTGATCCCAATGTCTCATCCCTACTAGATCCTTGAAGACAACATTGTATTCACTGTTGGGTGTTGTTATGACAACAAGGTAAGGATGAAGTTGCCCAAACAGAATGTCGGGAAAGGCTGACAGCATCTCTGGTGGTAAATGTTCTATTCTGTAAAAAAGGCAACTGCATTACAGCAACGTAGACTAACAATCAGATAGCACGTAAAATTAATGCATTTAGTAACGTTCAGGTATTGCAAATTTTGAAACATATATATGTGTTAAAATGCATACACTTCAACCATGGTGACTGCATCTACATCAGCGAGCCGTTTGTCAAACTCTGCAATGCTGCCGCAGAACAGCTGAGTGGTAAGAGGGCTAGACCTCACATGGACGTGCTCCCACAGTGACGGCTCAATGCGGAAACTGTACTGCTTCAGTATGTTCCTGGAGAGGAATAGGAAACGACATCTACAGACAAGTTGCAGTATAACCCACAATTAACCTGCATTTTTATAATATTACTACAGCATATGAAAATCCTAGTAATTCCATATCAATAAATGCTAACATTATATCAGAGTAGCTTCCGCAGCTTTTCTTTATAATATATTGTGCCAGACCATTTTTCTCTTACTCTTTAGAGCAGTTGCATTCTAACCAATTTTCAGTGTAATCAGGTTTCTGAGGATTAGGTTTTCTTTCTAAACTAGTCTAGTATATACCTGTCTATGTCTACTCCAATCAATTTCCTTATATCTTTAATCTTCTTCATGTATTTCAACATCTTGCAGTTTGAACAACCGAAATCTGCAACCTGCAATATGACACGTACATAACTTGTTTATACACCACATGCACTTGAGTTTATTATATACTAATATTGCAAACAAATGGGAATACCTGATGCTGTCTTACAAGCAAAATGTTGACATGATGCACACAGCATATGATGACACATACACAACAAATGTTTCATATACTGGAAGTGTGCTATATTGCATTCAATGTTTTTGGATTTCTTGGTTCGTATAGGAGAATTAAATCGTATAATAGAAGGGTATCGCACAGACTCCTAAATACTTTGAGGACATATTATAACCTTAAATGAAGCGGCCATTATAAGAAGCCAGCTTAAAAGTAGTTTGCACGTGTATGTGCGTGTGTGCAGCTGTGCGTGTGACCAGGAATGAATAAAAACATTGTTTTTATTTGTTTTTATTCACTCCTGAAGACATGTAGCTACATATGTATACTATATGATAGTAGATAGTATGATTCTTATAGCATCGAGAACCCCACTCGAATGCCACTTGCGCTCCCTTTAATAAACGAGGACTAGCATACCATTAGGACTTTGTGATCATCCGAGCCTTGTATCACATCACATACGTGCTCATACCGTTGTATATACAGCGGTGGATCAAACTTGCTTTCTGAATCATTCAACTCTCTTTCCGGTATTTGGTCAGACATGCTCATCCAATATGAAGTTGTGAAATTTGGGATATGTAGGTTGTTGGGCTTTTGCACGTTGTGACTACATTACATCACCACCCAGCTATCTGAAAAATAGCAAAAATATTTAGAATGAACCAATTATGTGTAGATATATCTTGGATTTTAATTTTTATGGATCATATTTGAATGAAACTAAATGTAGATCAAATTGTCACGGAGGTAGCATATATGATTAGGGGTTAATAATGACAAATTTGTAATTATTAACCCCTGATATGATATATGCTGTGTTTGTATACCATGAGTGGACCCCCGGGATACGAACAGCTCACGTCCCGTACAAATTTTCGTGATACGAGCGACCTCCAGTTAAACGTAATGTATTCGACAAACGAATAAAATTCAACATACGAACTCTTACGAATCTGCCAATCAGGGCATAGGCCTAGCGCACTGCTCTTTCGGTGAGTCCGTTTAAGTGCATGACTCATTGAATGTGGTTGCGCTCTCATGACTCCATTTGCTGTACATTTTTTGTGATTATTTTGTTAATTTACTGCTGAGTGTATTAGTATTACATTTATCAATTTTCATTTCTTATTCTATTTATTTTTATTAATAAACTATAGTTAAATGTGTATATATCCTACACTGTTAATGTTTTTGATTTATTAGCAATTAATTGGTGAAGATGATTGGAATCAGGGTAACGTTGCTTCGATTTCTATATTAGAACGAATTCGGAATTAGGCAATTTGTATGTTAAGCTCGGCCCCAAGCCAAGCAAACAAGGTGAGGTTGCTGGGTAAAACAACGTATTGTCGCGCCTTTTGCGACAACAAATGACCCCTTTCTTGCTAGAAATGAGTTGACAAGACCCTCAAGAAGACCTCTGTAAATTTTTAAGACTGTAGGCCTACCCCCACATTAACCAAACTCACGACATGGGGGTGTAAACGCTACTCTGACAAAAGCTAGTAGTACTATAGCTAAAATATAAGTAATATATAATATATATTTTAATATATATTTTAATATAATATATATATATTAATATATATAGTATATATAGTATAAATATAGTATAATATATATATAATACTATATATATACCGGAGTTCGAGCAGCTAAAGCAAACTCTCGAAGCTGAAAGCGTGTCACTAGTCGAATGGTTCTCCGACAACCAGATGAAAGCAAATCCAGAGAAATTCCAAGCTCTGAGTGTTGGGAAACGGTCATTCGAAAAGAAACCAGTATTTTATGTAGCCAACAATAGTATACCATGTGAGGAATCTGTCATTTTACTAGGAGTGGAAATAGATTATTTATTAAATTTTGGCAAACATGTTGGTAAAATGTGCAAAAAGGTCTCACAGCAAATAAATGTTCTGAAGCGTATAGGGAAGTTTTTAACATTAGAAGGACGGAAGGCTGTGTATCATGCTTTTATCATGTCAAATTTTAATTTTTGTCCGTTGACATGGCACTTTTGTAAAAAAGCAAACACAGACAAGCTGGAAAGACTCCATTGTAGGGCATTGAAATTTGTATACCAGGGCAGGAAAATGACAGCTCATATAAGGAGCTTTTAAATAAAAATAAAACATGTTCCCTGCACCTTGGGCGTCTCCGAAACATTGCCACAGAGACTTTTAAAATTATTCACGGACAGTGCCCAGTTTATTTAAAGAATTTTATCCACATGCGGAAATATGCGTACTCCTTTAAATACAAAAATGTCTTAACCACACCAAATACCAGAACTGTGACATATGGCACAAATAGCTTTAGAACATTAGCTGAAAAGGTGTGGAACAGTCTGCCAGAAAATGCCAGACATACTGCATGTTTTAACGAGTTTAAAAGGTTTATCAAAACATGGAATGGCTTTGCATGCAAATGTGCAATGTGCAAATGATCTTTTAATCTGCAGTATGTTTTTAATAAATTTTTGCAGATAGCAACATCTGTAACTGTTGCTATAAATTGTAAATATCTATGTATTATACCTAAAATTTATTCATGTACTCGAATGCCTGCATAGTATGCATGTTTTAAAATTGTTATGTACTGTTTTATTTATTGGTCTACCTATGTTAGTTGGTCGGTCTTAAAAGCTCATCAGAGCTTATGTTTTTTCGTTGTAAACTTAAAGCGTCTATTGCGAGAATTTTCCAGTATTTTCCCCACTTTCATGATACCTACCGTTATTGCTTGAGTAACAGCAATTGTCTAGAGTAACGATAAAATGTCTTAGAACCTTCGTATTCACCAAATCCAATGAAATCATGCACGATTACAATTTTGCTTTCTGTTTCTATTTACCGTTGCCATCTCTCGAATTTTCTCGCGGTAGCGCGAGACATCTATCACGGTGCAGCAATGCATACCACGCACCGTAGAAATCAGGTCAGAGTGTAAACACAGACGTTTATACTAGCGTAACAGCAGTGTAGTACTAATGCCACGTAAAGTCTGTTATTAGAGAAGCTTGTGGATTGCCAGTCAGATAGTAACACGGCTTCCCGTGTAACACGGGAATGACAATGACATAAAGTGCTCTGAATTATTGACATAAAAACTCAATAATATTTACAAAACAGAATTGCACGCCCTTTTGTTTTTAATTATGTTCGCTTGTTTGAGACGCCATTTGTGATTTTTGAGAGTCGTGACACGATAAAATTTATTGCTGGTATGATGTGGTTAAATCAATTTTTCTATGCTATAACTGCATAAAATCTTGGTGTTTTGAATGTTGGTATAATCAGTGATATTTCCACTGTTAGGTGAGACTTTATTCAGCTATATTTCGTTTTTCTGAGCCAAAAAAACTCGCAATAATCACTTTAATGACTATAAATAAAGATTACTTGACTTGACTTCACTTGACTATAGCTCCAAGAAACAGTATTGCTAGGGTTAGAATACCCTAGGGTTATCCTGGCTAGGGTTGCTAGTAGACCGAATAATTCTGTCCCATATAACCTTTTTTATATTTTGGTGAGGGTTATTGGCCACCAACCCTATGGTTGGCCAATAATAATTGGCCAATAACCCTTACCAAAATATAAAAAATGTTATATGGGACAGAATTATTCGGTCTACTAGGTGCCTTGCTAGGTGCCTTGCTAAGGTTAGAATGTATATATCAGGGTTTTCCCCAGGATGAAATTGAAACAGGGG